ATATATATATATATATATATATTATGGAAATTATAAATACATTACAAATTATAAATTATAGATTAAAAACATGTTTAAACTTTAAAAAATATTGAAAAAGAAGTTTCAGAAAAACAACTACAATAGTACAAGATTACAGTTTGACATTTGCCCCATTTTTAAGCCTGATTGTCTTTAACCATTTCATCAAAACTGTTCACCGAGCAGGTGAGTGAAACTTGTGGACTCCACCTCCTTCTTCTTCTTCTCGCAAACGGTTTCCGAAAAATCCCAAAACCCTACACTCAACCATCTTCAATTCGACCTTCAATTCCTTTTTAATCATTCCTTCTCCAATTTAACCTCTAAATCTCTCGGCATCTTTCAATTTACCGATCTTCTCTTTCTCTCAAATTCTGTCACAAAACCCCTTCATGGATGTATCAGTGAAGACAGAATCGGAATCCACAGTTTTGCTCAATCAGGCTCACGAAATTCCCACTGTGAATGATTGCATTGTTTACACTCGATTCAAAAGGTCTCTCAATTCGTGTAATGGTTTTTTTGAGGAGGTTTATTGCAAGAGATTCAGTACACATACAGAAACACAGATTTTATTGGAGAATGTATTGGAGAATGAAGTCAATTGTTGCAGGAAAAGTAGGGACGGCGGCTAGTCTGGTGATGGTGATGGTTTGAAGAGTGAGTTTCGAGAGGTTGCAGAAACGGCCTTTAAACGGATTACTAGATCGGTGATGGCAATGAAAGCGAAAGTTGAATCCAGTAAGGTGCGGGAAAAGAGTTTTTCAAGCGGATTACATCTTCTACGATGAAGGCGAAAGTTGAGTCTGATAAGAAGACAGCTCATGTGTTAGGACAGAGAGGTGTTGTCGGTGTAAGAGGTAAAGGTAAAGGCGATGGTATGGTGACAGGGAGAAATTTCAAGCTGTTTACACGTTCAGCAATGAAAGAAAATGCCATCTCTTGTGATGTGACGGTAGTAGAACAACAAGGTGTTGCAGTTGTAAGTGTTAAAGGCGATGTCGCAGTGCCAGTGAGAAATTTGAAGCTGCTTACACGTTCAGCAATGAAAGAAAAGGGTGAGTCCTGTGAAGTGACGATGACCATGATAGAACAACAAGGTGCTGCAGTTGTAAGTGCAATCAGGCGATGGTGTGGTCCCAGGGAGAAATTTGAAGCAGTTTACACGTTCAGCAACGAAAGAAAAGGCTGAGTCCTGTGAAGAGCCGTTGACTGTAGTAGAACAACAATTTGCTGCAGTTGTAAGTGCTAAAGGCGATGGTGTCTCCGTGGTTTACATCAGCAAACTTAAGAAGGTTACTAATGTTGTACAAAGTGATCAAAGTGCTCATCTTCGGAGGGTGATTGTTGACCTTGAGGTAAATTACTTTCTGAATGCATTCCTCTCCCAAAATCACCATCTTTACTAAGTACTGACTGCTTTTTTTCTCTGTCCTCCCGATGGCATCCGGCATATAGATTCCTAGATTTGACAGTGGTTCTATAGTTAGCCAGGATCCTGCAATATCTTACATTTGGTCTGAGCAGAGTTTGAATGATGATCAACTTAGAGCTATTCTCAAGGCAGGCACAATCTCTGAATTTGTTCATCATTTTTTTCTGACATTTTTTTTACTGTTTCGTTTTGAATTCATTGATTCCTTCATTAGTTTTTTCGCACTGCAGTAAATTTTGATTCGGTTCTTTCGATTGTTGTGTGATTTTCTCACTGTAGTAAGTTTTGAATGACATCGTCAGTACGAAACTCGCTAATATCATCATTTTTTGTTTTTGTTTATAGTGAAGAGAAGGTAGCTCCGGGTGTTCTTCCAGCTCTCAGCATCCACCTCTCTGTGGAATCAATTCTTCTCTAAGTTGCTCCTTCAAAGGTTTTTTTCCTGAAATTGTTTATGAGCATTACAGAACATTAATCCAAGATATGTATTATTATTACCTCAATATGATGACGGCTTTATTGATATGCACTGTTTTTATTTTAGCAGCTGTGAGGGTATAAAAGTTGATGCATATAGAACACTATAATGTAGAATGTTTATTATAAAAGCATTCTAATTCAAACAACTAAATATATAAAAATTGGTTAATGCAGAGTTTGGATGGGGTCAAATGAAACAGCATATGACTATAGAAATTAAACATTCTTCTCCATTTTTATATGATTTTTTAAGTCAATTCTATCATCCTAGTTATTTTAGATTCGTGTGTCCATTACCTTTAAGAAGATTTGCATCTTTTGTCATGGGAAGTTATGGTTTCCCTTTGTGGAACCACTGTGTCAGGTCAAACTTGTTCCTTTAGCATTGCAGTGCTTGTTCCAGACCAACAGCTACACCTGGTTACTGTTTCTTGGTTGCTGAACAATATTTGGCAATCCAAGGATCCATCCCATAACTCTGTTGTGTTGACAATTTGCAGGACGAGAATGATTCTGCATATAGTTTGGATGACATGCACATAGATAATTATGATAATCTTGTACCTTTTATTTACACATGCCATCAAAGGAACACTTTATCCAGCAGTTGGATTTCTCGGCATCTGCTATAACTTTTCTCGGCATTTGGTGTTCATGTAAATTTTTTCTTTTTGATATAACTTTTCTTTTTCATTAATTCTTTTTGAAAAATCATAGATCATTTTGTACGAGGCAAAGACGCGTATAATAATAAGTGATCTATCTCAGTTGTTTTCTATAAGTTAAAAATATTTATGGAAATGATTGTTGATGATTGAAGAGTGTGAAGTGATGAGATTATATATGGGAGATTGTGTAACCGATTCGGGCAAGGATTGGGTAGGTCTATTACAGTTAGGGTGGGGTTAGATTAAATAGAGTTCAAAGAAGGAATTCATTAGAAGTTTGTTAACAATGTTAAACCTCTATTAAGTGCAGTTAGAGTTTGAACTTGAAGTTAGTTGATGTTAGAGTGAATTAAGAAGTTCACAGTTAACTGCTAGGAACTATTATTTGAAGTAGATTGAAGTTGGAATGTGATGTATTAGTGTTATCTTGCTAAATAAACTGCTCTGAGAATGAATTGGTTTGGTGTTAGACTATTAAGGACCACTTGATTGGAATGTTGGCTAAAGTATTAATGCTTTTAAATTTTAGTTAGGAACATGAATTAGTTACATTGAAAATTAATGTTTAAATGGAAGATAGCAGGACTCGAGATTCATTGACCCACACATTATTTAACTTAATAAAGCGTCCCGATGAACAACAAAGACGGATAATAATGGATGTAAGTTGATTTGACTTCTTATTAGTTGATTAAAGAATCTGGTTTTCAATACAATTATGATCGTTTCAGGCATGTGTAAGCCTTGCAAAGAATGTTGTAGAGATGATAACTGAAACAGAATTGCTTCCTCAGTGTTGGGAACAAGTATATCCTAACTTTAATTTTTGGCTTACTCCTGGCCATCATAACTTGGAATCCTTTTTTCAGATTTTCTGTGTAATGGATTTCAGATAAATCACATGTACGAGGAACGTAGACTGCTTGTTGCTCAATCATGTGGAGAGCTAGCAGAATTTGTACGCCTTGAGATTCGCATTTCTCTTATTTTATAAATTGTGCAACAACTAATAGAAGATTCTGCCACTATTGTTCGAGAGGCCGCAACTCATAATTTGGCTAAGCTGCTTCCGCTTTTCCCAAACACGGATAAATATTTCAAGGTCAGCTTCACTATATATGCTTCGAGGCAATCATGGAGAAGATTTCTGACTTGAGAGAATTGGCTGCAATGTAAGCTCAAAGACAGGTTGACGGGACGGTGTAGGGAATGGAGCTTTATACCCTTACCATAAAATTAAGATACTTTCTTTTTCTTTTAAAAAAAGAATAAAGATAAAGAGTTTCTCCAATTCTTTGTTTTATTTTTTGTTAGGTTGAGGAGTTGATGTTCCAATTGATATGTGATCCCACAGGAGTGGTGGTGGAAACTACACTCAAAGAGATGGTTCCTGCAGTTGTAAAGTGGGGAAACAAATTAGACCATGTTTTGGGGGTTTTACTCTCTCATATTTTCAGCTCTGCTCAGGTATTGGTTTTCCTTTATACCTTCAATGTTCCTTTGTGACCCATAACTTCATCCTTGGCACTTATTTCTGAGTAAAATTTTGTTCCTGGAATTGCAGCACTGTCCACTGTTTTCTGTAGTTGAAGGGTGTATAGAGTCATATCTACATGTGTTGCGGGAAAGAGAGCGCTGGAATATAGATGTTCTATTGACAATGCTGACAGATTTGCTTTCTTTCGTATACCAGAAAGCAATTGAAACATGCCCCTTCTTGTCCAGCATAGAAACTACACAATTTGTGCTATCTACTACATTTCTTGAATTATATGCAATGTAAGCTTGACTTAAACTGTTCAATTTGCACTATTATGTAGAAACTATAGGAAATGAAAGAATTGATTGAACTGATCTCGGGCTCTCGAATGTTATATTTTTCCCTTCAACACATTAGTTACTCGTTGGAATATTGTGTAAAAAGGGTGAAGTGAATGGACGGATAGGCGGTATATTTTCAAAATTGGTTGAGGTCCTTTTGCCAATTTTGCTCATGAGCTCTATTTGTAATGCAACATATATGAAGAAAACCAGGGTATGATATTTGAAATATTGTGGGAAATGGTTGTTAGCTCTAACATAAACATGAAAGTAACCGTTACCAAACTTTTAAAAGTTCTTGTAAGCTTACTACTTTCTTAGTTTCTATTTAAATCTCATATTAATGGCAACACTAACTTAGAGTACTTCATTATTAGGTTCCACATATTGACGCAAAAGTTGTCTCTACTCATGCTTTGCCTGCATTAGTTACTCTCGGATCTGAACAAGACCTTGATGTGAAGTGTGCTAGCATTTGATGCATTTTGTTGGTTCAAAGTTAATGATGACTAAACATTTAAAATCCCGACTAAGAATATGATATCTTGCAGATAGTTGAAAAGATACGTGCTCAAATGGGTGATTTTATTGAAGATGGATCCGATGAAGCTATTATTGATGTCATTCACGCGTTGGTAGTTGCAGTACCTCATACAACAGAACAACTTAGAGATTATATCCTTAACTTTATTTGTTTGAAAATAATATTAAGAAGTGTGTTTTTAATTTCCCGACTCTCAACTCAACATTTTGTCTCATTTTCTATTGGCTTTCTGCGTTTTTTAATTTCCACTGTTAGTTTCTTAACCTTGATGCACATATTTTGTCCAAGATTGCTCAACTTACAACCTTGCCAGTTACTACTTCAACTAATTTGACGCGCCGGCAAGAAAGAGCCAATGTATTTTGCGAGGCAATCCGTGTTCTGGATGCTACAGGTTTGCTTCATGACATTTATAAATCTTTCTTATTGATCATTGTCAAGGTATTTTCTGGTATTCTTGCCATGGTGTAACAATAGTATTAGTAATATATCTCACATGGCCTTGCCAGAGTTGCTCTGAAAACCTAACTCTTGTCATTGTATGTACCATCAATGCAAAAATACTTCAATTTTATGCCCTATCTGGTAATAACAATCCAGAATTGTAACATTACTCAGAAAAGTAGCAAATTGCTTTTATTTTTCAAGGATCGGAAACATGATTCTTCTGATCTTTAGCCTCTCTTTCTTACAGCAAGCATGATTTATTACTGTTTATCATACAGATCTTTTTGCAAACAGTGTCAAAGACCACCTCCTGCCTGCAATACAAAACCTTTTAAAATACTTGGATGCATTGGATCCAGCACATAAAGAAGCCCTTGACATTATTATGAAGGAAAGATCAGTGACAAGTTATAGTAGTATAAGTAATAAGGTGGTGAGTACTCATGTTTGTCTGGCATCATCAATGAGCAGCTTCTTTGGTGATGGTGGCTTGCTTGGAAAGAGAGACAATACAAAAGTGCTATTAGAAAATTCTACTTCTCCTAGGAGTGTTGCATCACCACCACCACCGGCGGAGGACACTAGATTTAGGCGCATCATGCTGGGACATTTCGGCGACATCCTTCATGGCAAGGGAAGATCATCAGAGGAAAATCATAACTAATTCCAAGCATTTTAGCCTTGTAATTACACCCAAAATGTACATGTTTTTTTTAACTAAAATAGTATGATATAAATGATAGATATTTAGATTAGGGATTCAATCCCATCCAGTTCTAATAGAAAAATATTGAGACCAGCCTACCGAGATATCTTGATTTTGGAAAAAATGTGAATTTTGTTTGTCAAACACATGTCTTATTTTATGTACAGCTTCAAGTTCTGGTAAACTGTACACATTAGGAATGACTCCATTGAAATTTTTAGTAATTGATGAAGTTGCACAACTAAAAGAATGTGAATCTACGATTCTGTTGCAGCTTCCTCGTCTTAGCCATTGCATTCTTATAGGTGATGAGAGACAGCTTCCTGCATTGGTCAAAAGCAAGGTACTTAGTAGTTTCTTAAACTTTTGCATTAATAAAAGATTATTCTGTGATATTTTGAAAATGTAATATTTGTAGATAGCTGACAAGTGTGAATTCGGAAGAAGTATGTTTGAGAGGCTTGTAAGATTGGGATACAAAAGGAAAATGCTTAATATTCAGTATAGAATGCATCCATCTATCAGCTTATTCCCATGCAAGGAGTTTTACGATGAAAAACTTTCTAATGCGGGCGTTGTCAGGCTTCCGTGGAAGTTAAAGGTTTGGAACCAGTCTTGGACACGAGAGAGGATAGAATAGATGAGGATAATGTCCCAAAACATGCTGAAAACGAGGGTGACATGAAGCCAGCAATAGATGATGATGTGCAGTTGAATTTAGAAAAGGGTTGTGAGGAGTTGAAATCAAAGCATTATGAATGTAAGTTTTCTAGTCCATGTGCCTGTCATACTTAAAACGTGATTTTCTCAAATTGTTGGTTGGTAGTATGAACTTTATTAGGCTACTATCTAGAATGGAAATTGATGGAGAACATGAATTAACCCACGTAATTTCAAGCTATCTAATATCTATTAACTCTGCATTTTACTAATATGTGAATAAACAGGGCTAGGATCATATCATAATGCCATATTGTTTAGTTCCTTTTGAGCCAAAAAAATAGAGAACGCAAGGTTAATGATTGAAAACTTTTTTATGTTAGTGTTTATTATGTGAATATCATAAATATTGATGATTGCCATTAACGTAACCTACAATAGTTGTATTATGAATCCTAAACTGAGTGCAGATTTTTTTAAAAAAAAAATATTTGCAACTTGTGATCGTTCAAACCGCCACAATTATTATTAAAAAGGAATATTTGCAACTTGCGGCGGTTCAAACCGCCACAATGTACCATAGTTTTTTTTAAAAAGAAATTTGCAAATTGCGGCGGTTCAAACCGCCACAATATACTTTCGCAATAAAACAAAAATCATTAAGCAATTAAAGACGGTTGAAAACCGTCACAATATGGAGATTATGACAGTTAGCTACCTGTCGTGTTAATAACGACGGTTTGTACGACAGTTTTCACAACCGTCGCAATACGGCCTCACGATGCACGTTTCTGCGACGGGGTTGAAACCGTCGTAACTTACAAATTGCGACGGTTAAAACCGTTGTAATCTATCAAAATGAACCGTCGCAATTTGCCAATTTTCTTGTAGTGTATGTTTGGAAGATTAAGAGTGACTTTTACTGTAGTAGATCATGAGGGAAAGGGAACCAAAACGTATCCCAATAGCGCAATCACAACTCTTGCTCACTGTCGCTTTCGCGAAAATAAGGTGTCGGCAAAACAGAAGAGTCGCCACCTTTCGTTATTTATCCCTCAGAGCGGGAAAGGAAACGATCGGAAAAACCTGACGAAAAAGGGTAAGACAAGGTCGTCGCAACCATTGTCTGGGTTCGGGAGTCGGTTACGCAAAGGGAAGGTATTAGCACCCCTCACGTCCGTCGTACTCGACGGGATCCACGCTTGCTTGGGTTTACTTGGACGGGTGAAAAACAATCTATCTACGGCTGCTAAATCTAAACGGAAAGGAATTGACTCGATAGAGTGTCGCACTCTAGGCCTACGTATTCTCAAGAGAGAAAGTCAGAGTCAACGTAGTTCGGGAAACTACGGGTTAGGTTGCTCGGCAAGACGTCGCGTCTTGGGCCTACGTATTCTCTTCCGAGAAATCAGAGCATGACGTAGTTCAGGCTAACTACGGTTAGACAGGGTGTTCTCGGTCACACGGGGGCGAGAGAAAGGATTGACGATACTAGTGTACGCATTCTAGCAGTTAGGTGGATGCTGCTCGATCATTGGAGACTTAGGCGTACCTGTTTGCGGTATAACGGACGTAATATGTCGGGTTTCGAGGTATGGGAACCTACGAGAACTAGAACTACGGTCTGGTCTCGAATGCACTCGGGCAAGAGAAAAGGATGACATCAGTCGTCAGCGGGAAAGTCTCGTTCACACAGCAGCGAGGAGAACAAGATGGTTATTTGTTAGTGTGCTCGCTAGGATATCGCATCCTATGCCTACATATTCTCATTAGAGAAAGTCAGAGCAGCTGTAGTTCGGCCTAACTACGGGTAGAACGGAGACCACATCATAAATCTCGTTTTATTAATAGTCTGAAAGAAATTATAATGACTGAGTACAGGAAAATAAACGCCTAAAAATCCTATCCATCTATCATGGAAATTCTAGTGAAAAATAGTCCCCTAACAAGTGGACATTTAATTCTACTTCTAGAAATGTAAAAAGGGTCCCCTAACAAATGGACATTTAAACTACTTCTAACAAGAAAATAAACTCTATGAAAAAATATATCCTAAAAGGAAAATATCCTAAAAGAAAATATTAAAAACTATTATTTTTTTATATTTCTATATATTCTTTTCTTTTTTCTATTACATGCTTTTTCTTTAACTCTCTTTCTCTTTTAAAATCTCTAAACAAAAGAATATAAAAAGAAAATGAAGAAAAAACAAGAAAAGAGCACAAGGGGGTGCAAACAGCCCAGCCAGGGGTAAGGCAGCAAAAAAACCAGAACAGAACTGGGCCCAGCCCAACAGGAAGTTCAGAAAAACAAATAAAATCAAGGGGGTTTGAGTGCAAAAACGGAGGGTGTGGACAGAAGGGCCCAGCCCATTTACACACGGAGGAGGGGTATAAAAGAAAACGGGGGGCGTAATCAGTAATGGGCCCAGCCCAATCAAGCAATAACCAAAAAATAGAAACGGAGGGTATCTTGGCCAAAACGGGGGTACGTACGGACGAAAATCCATGGGCCCAGCCCAATCCAATATGCGGTCCTCTCCTCCTCGCTCCAACTTCTCAGAAAAACCTAGTTTCTCTTCTCCTTCTCCCTTTCACTGTTCATTCTCCTCTCAGCTTGCGCCGCCACAACTCTCCCATCTCTCTCTCGTTCGTCTTCCATCTCTCCATACCTCTCAGCCAAACCCTAACCATGAACTGAACCAATCAATCCTCACGTTCCCTCAATCAAAACCGTGAACAGCGAAGCCCAAACGTGTCTGAATATCCCCTCGGGGGAAGATTCTGGAAGATGAGCTGCGTGATCTTAAAATCCTCTGGAAAACTTGAAGGACAACTGAAGATCCGCTGAAGATCTCTACGAGGAAGAGGAAGATCTTGAACGATGATGATCGCTTTTACGACTTTTGGAGATTTCGCATGATGATAAGGATGATGATGATTTCTGAAACGATGAACTTCAACAATCTTGACGAAGATCTTGATGTTGTTCTTGGTGCTTGCAAATTTGAGAAGATTATTGATGATGATCGGATGATTATCGGAGTTTTCTGGGGAATTTTGCAAGAACATTAATGAGTTTCTGGACGAAGATCTTGAAGCAGGTTCTTGAATTTCTGGAGGAAGAAAGATGAACTTGGACGATCTATGAAGTTCTGGATGAGCGCCGATACTTGTTGATCATTGATGATGATGATCCGAACCTTGAAGGTGTTAGAGATTTCTGGAAATCAGTGAAGAACATTTTGAAGTTCTTGACGAAGGAATCTGGAGGATGATGAAGGTTGCTGGTGGTTGATGAATTTCTGGGAAGATGATGGAGATCTGGAGAAACTCTATGAAGAACGATCAAGATTGATGAAGACGTTTGAAGGAACTTCTGGAAACGGTTATGAACACAAAGAAGATCTTGATGAAGATCGGAGACAAAAGATGAATGTTCTTGGAGTTCCGGCGACATTCAAGGGTTTCCAGCGAGGTTTGGGGGAGCTTGGCCGCGAGAACCGCCGTTTGATTTTGCGGTTGATGTTCTTCGGCGGTTTGCATGCGCTCCGGTGGGGTTTCTGGTGGGGACTCGGCGAGTGGGACAGGTGGCGGTGAGGCGCCGTGCATGGGAGACGCGTGACGGCTGGGGTGATGGGGTGAGGCCACATGTTATGAAACGTGGCGTATGGAGGAAGGGGGCTGAGGGATACGTGGAAGAATCTGGAGTGAACACGCGTGAGAAAAATGGAGGAGAATGAAGTGGGGCCAAGTGGAAGGTTTTATAGGAGGACACGTGGACTGGGACTGGACTGAGAGTTTGGGCCTCCAAGACAATGGGCCCACGAAAATTAAGACTGAACTAATGGAATGGACTAATTACTGATTAAAGACCTCATTAAACTCAATTAAAGCCTTAAAACCTAATTAACTAATTAATACTCAATTAACTAATCTGAAAATTAAAACTAATCTAATCTAATTAGACCCAATAAACTCTAATTAAAGTCTAACTAAATGATTAAAATCTAATCAAACCTAAAAAAAGAGAATTAACTATAAAAACTCTATTAATCCTAATTAATCTCTAAACTAATAAAAATATGAAAAAAACTCTAATAATTCCTATTTAAAAATCTATTAAAATTCTACTAATTCTATATTAAAACTATAAAACTAATATCTATTAATCTCTAATCTAATAAAACCCTATTAAATCCTATTTACTTTCTAATGAAACCTATATTAAACCATATTAGTTCCTACTTAAAAAAATCCTAATAAAAGAAATATTCTATTAAACTATTATCTAAAAAA